ACTACCCAGACAGATATTGTAGGCCACATCCATAGTTGACCGACAAATATAAGGTGGCCGCCCTGATCACTTTACGTTGGATAGTGTATCTGTGGGTCTCTCTCACTCCATTATCACGCGCACTTAACATCATCAGTAGCCCTGTGTATTCAGGACACGTGCGTCCATCCTGTCAGCGAGAAAATGACCTGTCAATACTTCCGCTAAAATATGGCCTCATAGCGAATCTTCTTTATGTGTTTAGAGAAATTGGGAAGCGTTAAGTACTGCGGTTTTGTTTATTCCTCCGGTGTCCGGATTAGATTTCTAAATAAAACTAATAATAGCCTAAGGTAACTCACTGTGGTATTGCTCGGATGTATTCAAAAGACTTGACACTTTCATTCATTTAAAAAGGACATGTTCAAGAAAGATTACAAAAGCTACATTTTACAGTTTACGATTACACAATTATAAGAATTTCAGACTTGACATTTTGGTACACTAGGTCATTGCAAGTTAATTCTCCTGTCCCCGTTGCTGTAGTCTCTGATTTTCCATAAAGGACGTAAAAGAGGAAACAAGAATGAAATCGATAGAAAAGAAACGACGTACCTCGATATTTCTCGATTTTAAGATTAATTGGATATGTCGAGACATGCCCAATTAATCTTCAAACCGAGAAACATCTTCATTTCTCAATTAACTATCTGTCGTGTGCAGAAACAAATGTATTTGCCCAAACACCATTCTAAAGTTCTGGATCTACAACGGGACCCTGGGGAATGAACATGTTGTCGAACACACCACGCCTCACAGCTAACAGCAGACAAATTGAAGTTTCGATTATTTGACCACGCCAATGAATTTGGAATATGACTCAGAAGACATACTTATTTAAACTATTGCGGAGTAAACGATTTATAATGGATACTTTGTGTGATCCCATTATAGGATTTATGTAAGAGCTGTACATTGAATAACGATTACAAATTTGTTTTTTGAACGAAACTTTATCACAAATAATTACATGGGTCATATTTGAATTTTTTCTCTTCCTGAGCAATATGTATGGCGCCAAGCATACCTTCAACCAGTACATCACGAAGTCGTCAAGATCTAGTCAGATGATGAAACAAGAATATCTGTCATGTTTTCTACACAAACATTATCTGGGAGATATCCTATCACTGGTAATTACCGTAAATAATGATGAAACTAAGTCATAGTCACGGAGCAGAGGCAGTATTTTACTTTTTATTGATTATTTTCTAAACGCGTCGTTCAATCAATAGAACAACCTTTGCCTTTTGAATCTGATTTTGATATCGTGATTATGGTGCTGATAATGTTGCATCATATTTTCTGTTATTGCTAGCATGGTGTATAACTTTCACTGTAATTGTTTGTGCAATAGTCTTTTAGGAATTAGAAGATGAAAAATATAAAATGAAAGGACAAGATCAAGGCAATGTAACTCAAATCTGCATCAAAATACAATAACTTACAATTAAGCAAACGATCAATTCTAAACGATTTTCTTGTACAGTTTTGCTTGTTTTTCACTGAAAATTGATTTGGAAAAGAATTCAACCGATCACTTAAATATGGGTTGATAAATGCAGCTGAATTGGTTTTGAATCTTCCATTACAGCTCCGTTATACGCCACAAATGGTCCTTCGATAATGTTGATACATCAACACATATAAGACGCCCTCTGTAGCCGACTGACCTTTGGTCATCTAGTTAACAGGTGCTCTGATTATTATCACCGGTGATGAGAAAATCTTTAATGATCATGATTGTCAGCTGTCCATCCTATTTCCGCGCAAACCAGTTGAATAATTTGATATTGGACAATTCAGCTAGCGATTGAAACACACATGTCGTCAAGATGATCAGCTTGTTCCGCGACACAAGGATGTGACGATATGAGAAAGGCTATTGATTGGCTGAGGGTTCATTGCTAAAGTATACAGCCGCTGACGTCATTTCTGTACTTATTTCTGCTCTGGAGCTTGCCGATAATTCAGCTAATGTTTCCGTTTTATCAAATCAGTGCGCTGTTTTCACGCCCGCCTGCCCGTGCTCTCCCATTGCCTCTAGCCGATGTGTGACAGTGTACACGTTTCGTCGCACATGTCTAAATGACAAGAAGGTAAACGAATGAGACAAGTTGCATTCAGCAGAACTGAGACGGGATTCTTGTTTGTCAAACCATTCCTATTCAACGAACAGTAAATACATACAACGCCATACTCATTTTTAAATGTGTTTAAGTTTAGATTGCATGAGCTAGCAGACGCCACGGCTACATCAGATTCGTGACGTCACACTGGTCTAGTCCCCTAGGTGTTGTGTTTCTCATGCCAAGGCTATCCTACTACCCTGCAGAAGTGATTTGCCGTTCCACAGCTTATCAGGTTCCGGATGGGATTATTTGTAAACAGACAAAATGTACTTAAACAGATTACTAATGATAGTTATAACACAAAGCATGTACATGCATGCGATAATTACTCGAAGGCGCGTTACAATACATTAAGTTTTGTTTCGAAATTATTGAAAACATAACGTTAAGGATTAAATGTTAGGATTTAAGAAATATATCGTGTGTATCGTAGAGATGCGATCCTTTAAATCCACCCAACAACACAATCCCTACTCGTGTACATGTATTACGAATATCGGGTTTAAGCAATTTTTTTCTTTATTTCTTTTTTTTTAAATATAGACGTACGTGTAACTTAATCGATTTGTAGTGGAGCGTTTGTCCATAAGTTGGGAACTGGAGAGATCTCACCAAGGTGACACAAACCCCGAGATTTACGACCATGTTCCAGGACTAGGCAATGTGTAGAAATCCAATTACTCTACACTAGGTTGACAGTTTAATTGTTCCAAATAGGCTTCAGCACATAACCTGGGAGGGCTGCTTTCCTACCTTGTCGGTGTTAACTCGTGTTTTGTTTGTAAGCATTTCAGCCTCAGTACCAGCAGGAAGGGTCATTGCGGACATCCAGAGACTGGGAACATATCTGATCTAATGCCAGCTGGACACTGTCCGGTGATAATTCAGACTAAATTTCTGTCTTCCTGTTGTATACAAGTTGTAACAGAACGAAAGTCCAAAATAGAACAGGCATGAGTCATGTTTTAAAGCGGAAGTCATTAACTTGACCTACTTTAGAATTGCAGTATCTTCCACGAGTAGGGTCACACATGCTCACTCTGCCTATTATAGAACAGTTGTTGTCATTACCCTTAATGCTTAACGTTAAGCAGGGAATAACAACCTATCATCTTTAAGGACTTTACAATTTATGTCTCGACCTGCGGAAAGAACCTGTTGCCTTTCTCACCTAGGCGAACGCTCAACATTAAAGCAAAAAGAGAGGCATTGACAAGCAAGGTGCTAGGAAATAAAAGGTAGCTAGAAGTAGATGAAATATAAAGATCCCAAATATTACAGTGAGTGCAGCATATATATTTTGGTCGCTTTTATGTCCCCAAAAAGAGAGACCCCCAAAAAATCCCCAATTCTGCAGGGGGTTCCATCATTTGTCGCCTCTTACGTTACAGGCAGTAGATAACAGCAGGTGAATTTTCCTCTCGATCCCCTTCTTGCAGAGGTGTTTTTAATAATGTTGTCTAATTTAAAAAATAAAACCAGCTGCACGATTGATCGATTGATTTATTGATTTTGTGTTGGATTGATTGCTTTAACGTCTTGATTGCAGAGCTCACTTCAAATGACGACGGCGCGCACACGTCATCAAACGAGTGTCATATTTGCACTTCGCAAGTTTTTAGCTTATTTATATAAATATGTAATATGCTGAAACAGTTGTCGCAATCTATGAATAAGTTTGAGTCGATTGAATTTTATACCGTGAAATGATAATATAATTTATCATAAAAACTGTTTCTTGTCACAATTTCTGATAAGAAGAGTACAGGACGGAATCAAACATCAATATTTTGTTTAAATTCGTTCATTTTTTCACAATTCCAAAATAAATATGATAAACACTTAATATTATCACAAACAGAGATTTCCAGAGTAGAAACACAGTAATACACGGCAGAAATAACAACATGTTTACCCAAATAAATTATCTTATTTCCGAGAATTCTCGGAGGAGCTTTACTCGCACGATTTGCCGGAGAGATGGATGTATTGTCTGTACTCAGATCCCCAGGTAATTGTGGATATGTCGTGCCCTTAGTCACTTCACTCAAACACCCGAGTGATTGATGTGTCACACACGTCCCTTGCAATAAACAGAAATGATATGGCAACGTAATCACAAATCACGAATTCAACAGTTTGAAATACAACACACAGACGTTTTATTTAGTACATGTTGTTGTTATCCAATAATAGCTAGGTTTCCATTGAATGGTACTCGCAAACAAGCCTATGCATCATCGTATCCGCCTCGTGCGGGGCCTCCTACAGGATAGGCATATAATCAGGAAGGGTAAGAGACGTTTTACAGGGTGATACAAGTTGTTTTTGATTGATAATCCCCCCCCCTCATCCAAGTATCACGATGGATGAGAGGGATTCTCTGTAATGAAGCCCGGAGGCTGGAGAGTTAAATAATATGCACTTGTCAACCTGTTGGGTGCGCGACACTGAAGTTCAAAGTTGAAAAATATCTATTGATATTACCTTGCACGTGCCTGACCCCTGTGAGGGGTCACCATATAAAAAGGCATACCCAAGCCTTGACACACGCTTATTTCAAAGAGAAATGTTGGCAAATTGTATGCAATTATTGGGAGGGAAATCCAAAAACTAAACAGTAGAAATAGAAACCCAGAAACTTGGGAGGGTATTTAACTCTCCAGCCTCCGGGCTTCATTACAGAGAATCCCTCTCATCCATCGTGATACTTGGATGAGGGGGGATTCTCTTCCATTCAGCCCTACGGCTTACTAGTTAAATAATATGCACCTTCAAAGAATCTGCCAACATTCCAGATAACCATGAAAATAAAAACCAAACTTCAACTCAAGTTCAATCATTCATTAGTATTTCAAAATTACACAAAATTTCACAAAGTCTATATATCACTGGCATCCTATCACTGTCCTGTCTGTAGCACACTGGTCGAAAATGAACCCGTGTCATCAATGTCTCTCAGGTAGAACCTTCTGAAGGTCTCTGCTGATGCCCAGTTTGCCGTTTCCAGTATATCCCTCAGAGATGTCCCAGCTGTATATGCTGCCGACACGGAAGCTCCTCTAACCGAATGAGGTTTAAACTGACGGTTAATTCCAGCCGCCATCATCACTTCCCTTATCCACCTTGCCACTGTGGAAGTGGACACCTGCAAACCTCTTCTGAAAGAGACTAAAAGTTTATTACTCTTCCGTATGTTTACTGTCTGTGACACATAATATCTTAAGGTTGAAACTACACACAATCTTTCCTGAGAATATTTATACAACGTTACTTTATAAAACGGCTTTGATGGCTTAGATGTTTTCATAAATTCTGGGACTGTAAAAACAATATATTGTCCAAAATCCTGCATATGTTCAAGATCTAAATTAACCAATGTTTGTGCTCTTTGTGCTGTTGTAAGTGCTATCAAACAGGCTAATTTCTTGGTCAATGAATCCACCTCCAAGGCCGTCAAAGGGAACAAATCACCCAAATACTTCAGCAAAGGTGCCACATCCCATGTTGATGAATACCTGGGCTTAGGAGGATTAGTGTTGAACACCCTTCATAAACCTAGAAATTAAGGCATTATTCATCAATACTGTATGGCCTAGTAATGGCAAAGTCTGGAACAACATTCATTTATGTGTATTTTTAAACACTGTAAGATTTCCCTAGGTTAAACAAATTAGTGAGGTAGGAAATCACTTCCTTGATAGTGGGACGATTGGCACCAACCTGTCGTTCACCACACCAAGAGACACAGTTATTCCATGCCAAGTCATACTGCTTGGACGTGGACCGTTTCCAGGAGGAGAAGACAAGCGTGGCAGCCTGTCGTGAAAAACCCTGCTTTTGCAGAGATCTCCTGACACGCAACATGCGATCAGTCTCAGGCTGTTTCTTAAGGGATGCGGCTCCCCCTGTGGGGACAATAGCAAGTCTCGCCACCTCGGCAGGCGTGCGGGCGCATCCACAACAATGTTTAATAGAGTAGGTAGCCACGCTTGACTTCTCCATAAGGGAATGACTACTATTGCCATACCTACTTTGTCTTCCTTCACTTTGTGTAGTACATGGCTGATCAGACTGAAAGGAGCAAAAATATACAGTAAGTAGTCTGACCATGACAGAAAAAAAGCATCATAGAAGCAAGCATCTGGATCAGGATACCACGAGACAAACTTGGTAACCTTAAAATTCAACCTACTTGCGAACAGGTCAACATCTGGATTGAAGAAATGACCACATATCCTGTCAAATATCAGAGGGTGTAAAGACCACTCTCCAGAAGACTGAATCGACCGTGAAAAGTAATCAGCATCAACATTCAACACACCTGGTATGTGGCAGGCAGAAATGAAAATATTTCTTTCCGTACACCACAGCCATAACTCTTTAGCTAGCTCATTCAGCTCTGTTACATTTCCACCAGGCTTATTAACATAACCCTTACATGAACATCAGACATGTCTGAACAAAAACATCGTAAGGCCAACCAGACAGCTTTTAATTCCAAAAAAATTAATGTGATGTTCACGTTCTGCTATTGACCAAAGACTTTTTGTCATTTGAGAGCCATACTTTGCTCCCCATCCATGACCAGATGCATAAGTTTCCATAACAACATCTGGATCACTAGGTCTTATCGCCCGACCATTCATACTGTTTACATTATCTTTCCACCATACAATTTCTGTTTGGGCCAACCTAGACAAACTGACCTTGTCATCATAAGACAAACCCTCATGTAAGGCCGCTGTCTTTTCCTTGTCTACCAATCTGTAAAATAGACCCGACAGCCGAACTGCTCTAAGGGATGATGTAAACAAGCCAATGAGACTAGCAAGTTCCCTCAGAGAAATTGACTTTTGACCTAACACATGGGAACATGCATCTACAATTTTCTTCACCTTTTGTTCTGGTAAT